AACAAGAATTTTTTTATTCGGCAGCAACAACAACAACAACAAAACACGCTAACCCATGATAATAGGAATAAATTAAGCAAAAGCTCAGACTTGTATAAAGGGGAATGGCAAAGACATTTATTCTGTTCTGACTCCGTGAAGTTTCAAGCCGGTGTCATTTCAGTTAAGAAATTTTTTCAAGTTGTGTAAAATGCAGTCAAATAGTGCCTGGCCGCATTTCGATCAGCTTTGAAGAATTTAATGTGTCTTCTTTGTATAATTTGGCTGATCAGGTCTTGTTATAAATCCTACGTTCTGCGGCATATTCGTTCGCGGTCCTTTTGTAGTTCACGTCTATTTAATGTAAAGAGGACCATGCAACCGATTGTTAGATCAAGATGCCAACTTCTAGAGATCTAAAATCTGGAGACTCTCTCTTTTCCACTATCCTCCTGAATGTCAATGGAACACCACCCCCGCCCCACCACCAAAAAAGAAAAAAAAAACACACACACATTAAGTGCTAAATAAAAAGGCTAAAGCCATAAACCATTTATATCTGTACACTTAACAGAAACCAGAAGACATTATATTTTTGATTGGAGCTCGAATTAGTGGATCGGATTCAATGAGAGAATAAAAATTACATTTTCAACATACATATTACATTGTTTGACTAACATACATGTTGTAGTTCCATTCTATCCTAGGTTCAATATGTATTTCCTTTGTTTTTAGGTATGGTCATGTATCATAATGAGTATGAAACGATGGAAAATAAAAATTGAACCAAAGATGAAAATGAACTACAGCTTACAAGCTTACACTTAATAACGGAATTATCAGTAATTCAGTTTTCTTACTAGCGTACACCTTGACGATCAAAGAGGTAAAAACTGTACCAAATATGAGTGCCAATAACAATCCAAGAACTCTACCCATAAATCTGTACACAGTGGGCCCACCAAAAGTCCAGCCACTTGATTTGACCAAATTAGGAGACGTTCCATTACAACACTCGCCACAGAAGGATAGTACGCGCGCTCTGATTGGTTGAGAGGAGTGTTTGCGTGAGAGTATGTAAACATGGTTGTGGCGTCAAAATGTTTTGCTTTTTGCGCGCTAATCACGCAAGTACGAATTTGAAAAAGTTTTCAAGTTCCAAACTCGACAAGTTTACTTTATTTACCCATTCCTTCATCGGCTGAAACTTGGAAAATCGTTACAAAGAAAGTGTGTCAAGTTTTTTTCGCTTAAGCTGGCATTTTAAGCGAGCAAAGTCCGTATTTTGGAAAGCATCTTCTTGCAAAACAAGAACTGATTACGCGTACAAGACTTCGTGGACAAGTGTTGCGACTGGTCAGAATTTCTCTTTTAATCAGTGCTATACAAAGAGTTTTGCGTTTTTTCTCGGAAAATTTATTTCATAAAAGCAATAAAAAACTTTTTTCCTGTGTTTGCATAGCCTGATATAAACACGAGAGGAGTTGGGAGAATTCTCGACAGTTATGCAAACCCTCGACTTCGTCTCGGGTTTGCATAACTGTCTCGAATTCTCCCAATCCTTCTCGTATTTATATCAGGCTATGTAAACACGGAAAACGTTTTCTATTGCTTAAGTGAAGCGCATCATGTGTATCGTGACATCCTACAAGGATCATTAAGATGTTTTAGAACTTAAGTGGGAAGACATCAAATGATGAATCTGGGCAAACACGACAACCCGTCAAGGTCATCAAGGAGGCGAAGGAGGTGTTTTGCCGAGGAGTATCTGTACTATGACTAACGAGGTAAAACCTATGAAAATAACCATGACAAAATGAAATATGAAAGAAATTGTGGGGAAAATATAGAAATACTTTTGGGAATCAAGGAAACACGAAGCAGAATTTCTGGGAACAGGGGAACTCGGTAAAAGTGAATTTCGGGGAACACCTTAATTTATTCATGAGGAACAAGGGAACAGCCGTAAATTTTTCTAGGGAACAAGGGAACATGCACCCCCTGTGAGGCCCTAAACAATGCATCTTAGTGTCAGCGCTTCCTCACTCGCTTAAAAAGCGCAAAAAACAAAAAAAAACAATCAAACAAAAAAAAAACATAAAAAAGTTAATAGAAAATCGACCCTCGACATAGTACCCTCGACCCTTGACACCTCGATCAGAGGTCGAGCTCGGCTTCACCGCGACCGAAATCCTTGCTAAAGAATATCTCTTTGTAAACCGTTTATCCCGACCAGTAAAAATATTAGACTGGTGTCTTCACAAAGTTCGCTGAACCGTGATTTCCTGGCCACCGAGGTCTTCCATTAAATATTTTAGGGTGAAATGATTTAGCATTGACAGTAGATAGTTGCTTTGGAGATCACGTCGCTTTATCGGCATTAAGTCCATGCTAACAGATATTGAAGACCCATTTCTCTTTTCCTGCGAACTGTTTATTCAAGCGAAAGTAATAAAAAGGGTTCATAACTTCTTGTTTGATTTTTTTTTTTTTATGTTCCCGTACGCTCGACTGTCATCACGAAATTTCATAATAAGAAGACTCGCTTCATGTGAATTCAAATTTGCCCAGTGATTGGATAACAGCTTGTTTTGGTTCGTAGATCAAAACATTTCCAAAAGTGGAAAAGCTCTGGACTGCAAAAAGGAACATTAAATAACTGCATAAAGAGTAACTTTTATGTATATCATTAGTGCCGCTGATTTTCCCTTATTCTCCTCAAATTCTCATGCGTGAAAATGCCTTATTCTGACGGCAGAATGCTCGCCTCCAAAATCACTTATTTTGCTCGAAATTCTGCCGGCAGAGGCCAACCCTATATTGTTTGATGTTGTCAGATATTTTGGTCAATTTTTAAAACCAGGAAGTCGGGACGGTAAAACATTCAGCGTCACTTTTCCGTTCAGTAGTTCAAATAAGGGAGTGCCTTCCCATTCCCCGGAAATAAAAGACACAACACAGACACGAATAATCACTTTACAGGCCCGGCCAGAGGTTTTGGGTATACGGTATCCCGGGCCGTTTTAATTCAGGTATATGGTATGTTTTGGTCAAAATTTGGGTATAAAGTATTCAGCTTTTCCTGAATTTTAGGTATTCAGTATATGGTACAGAAATCACTGAGAAATGTATAATTCATTTCTAGTTTTATTATCGTTCTAATGCTCACCAGAAATAGTGCGGATGCTCGAAATAGTGTTCAAGCCCTAATCAAATACTTACAAAACCTGTGGCTCTTTCAGTCAGCCTTCAATCTGGCTGGGACAACCACAAGGTTAAGTTTTGATGAGACAGTTACCCGTTTCCAGCATTACTATTCTTTTCACGAAGAAGTCTCGTTGAAAGTTCAGGGTATCAAGGGCTCAACTTCCCAGACCCAAGGACCATACGGAACACTATCTGCTACTACACTGAACTCTGTGAAGATGATACTGGAAGGCCTCACTAGACTGAGGACAAAGGTGGTGGAACTCAGTCCAAACTTCATTCAACACTTAGACGTTGTAAGCCTTTTAACTCTCTTTGTTGAAGACTTCTTTTCCGGTATGAGAGGGGATAACAAAGACTCTCCCATGATGCTCGACTTTTGCTTGCGTCAGTCCCTGATGTATTAACGAATTATTAAAACGTGTCACAGGTACGAGCTACGGGTGCTTTACAAATCCAGTGGCCTTGTACTACCTTCAGCCTACTTTAGGTGATGTTAATATAGACTTCTGCGACCTTGCAAAATTACGGAAGAAATTGTCTGGTTGCTTATCCAAGAAGCAATTGGATGAGATCCGTCAGTGGGTACAGCACTGAGTACGGTAATAGTGTCAGACAGAATAACACAAGGAACTTTTCAACAAAAGACAAACCAGGTACCTTGCCATTGAACCTCTACGAGTCTGCACCCCCGAAACAACATTCAGTTGACTTTGACGTGCTTCTCAATGAAGACATCCCGTTCAACACCAAGATACCAGCACAGCACGTAGCATTGTCATCGCCCAGTCCACGTATGTTGTAGTTTCCCGAATATACAAACCGCGTTCTGCTCCAAACAGCCCACTGTACATTACAAAACTATTGGAGGATGTGGTTGATGACTATGACAGTACTCGTTATGTAACAACTCTCCGTTACATCCAAGATGTTGTCGATCCTGTCCTATTCATCAGGGGCACCCAACCACGGTTTCCTTCAAAATACGTTGAAAACACTTTTTAGGCTATCCAGAGTACTTTTAGATCTGTAGAAATGCATTCTAAGCGGCGCTACAAAATTTTTATCTGCTCGGTCATCCTAGGGGAACTTAAGTCTTTTCGAAATTACAAGGGCTTCAGTGCTTCCTGTACGATGGCAGGAGCAAGGGATTATGGGAAGGGAGAAGAGAGAAAAGTCAAAGTCTTTATCCCTCGACTTTCTCCTTCGCATCCAAGCTCGCGCTTGGTCTACTACGAACAGGTGAAAGACGTGAAGGATAAACAGATTGGCTATAAATAAATATAACTGACAAACGTCTTTGTACTTCGGTACTGTGTTATATGATCTTTTTTCTCAGTGTTTTAGTGGCCGTAAGAGAATAGGGTGATTGTTGAAGTTTAAAGTGTATATGACAGAGATGTTTTTATTTGCTTTTTAGAATATACACAGTGTACTGATAACGACGGCAAAAAGTATTTCGATAGCCATTTTTCGTTCCCATGTATTGAGCTGCAAAAAACGTGAAATTTCACTTCCTGTGGGCTACAAAACCCCACAAGTGAAAACAGGAGACTGGGAATGATTGTGACGTCATTCTGTTTCTTGGCAAGCAGATTATTACTCAAGGAAATGGTACAAAAGTGCATTGTATATGGTTGCAATAACACGAAAGACGAGAAAAAAAGGAATTTCTATCCATCAGATACCAATTTTTAACGATCTAAGATCAGAAGCATTTACCAGATACCAAAACGCGGTTAACGCTATATGAACCTAACAAATCACAAGTATCTTGCAGGGAACCTTGCAGTTAGAACGTGTGACACGATGGTGTTGCGATCATAATTCGCTGTGCGAACCTGAAAAGGAAACAATTGCTTAAAATTCATCACTTTGAAATGGATTCATTCAATAACAACGTTTACAGAGAAGCATTCTTTCTTAAAGTCAGACTTTGATTCTCAATAGAGACACCTATTAGGAAAGGCCAAAGCAATATTTCAATTCGTGACTTTAGGAACAATTAGGGAACCAGAGCCGAAATTAAATGCGTGCTACAAATGTGTCTGGGATCCTTACTGGGAGCTTGCAAGTCAGCTATTGGCCAATCTTTTTCCCTGTCCCAAGCTGGTAACGGTCCCAGAAGTCTTTGCAAACGTTAACTCGACTCAGTTTCCTTCTCGTTTTAAAGTGGCGAATGGCAAATAACTGTAGCTAACTAACTAACTAACTAACTAACGAATTGACTAACTAACTAGTCAACTGTTTTAAATAAATGAATAAATAAATAAATAAATAAATAAATAAATAAGGCTGGATTTTTGAAAATGTTATTAATAACTTTTTAAAACAAATCCCTTCCGGGGAGTAGAGGTGGAAGAAAGTAGGCAAACGCAAAGTGTGGGAATGAGCATTGTGATTGATTCATTCTTTCGTTTCTGCGTCCAACTCCGACAATCTGATTTTCGCTAGATCGTAAGCGACGGAGTTATATAATATTAAGCACAGTCGGAAGAAAACGGAAACGTTTAGATTCTTCCGGCTCCGGCTCCATTGCTTTGATAACTCCGATTACGAGTCCGGTCCGATTTTTTATTTTTCCCAGGTTATAAACGATGTTGCGACTCCGCTTACTACTCCGACTCCTACTACACCGCAAGCTAAGTTAAACCTGGACTCGAGGAAGAAATCCACCATCACATACCTTCACAACATTATTTTCCTTGTATTCCTCCCATTTGACACTGTCTGAACTAGACAAATTTTGTATGACGTTACCCATTGCAGAGGGTACAAGGAAGGCCTTCCCTGTGTGTTGAGTTTTGTCACCAGTCTCCTCCTCAAGGTTAATTTGTAACCACTGGCCAGCTTTATTCAAATCCGCCGACCAGGATCCCATGTGGCCATTTCTAACATTGTTGAAACAAGCTAGCCAAGTCTCGTGTGCCCCACCGTGATAATCCGAGGAGGCTGTGATTGCTAAATTGGGTATTTCGTTATTTTTTATTCCAAGTTCACGAGTGCTGCATTCTCTGTTAACAGCAAGAAGTGTACATGTCAACTGAGAAAAAAAAAGGGAGTGGGATGGGAATGTAATAAAGACATCATCCGTTGTCACGGAAAAGGACCTGGGGCATTTCAAATGGAATAGAAGTTCATTTAAAAAGATTTGGAATAAAACATAAGGCAATCTAAATGGAATTCAGAGCGGTCTACCCCACTGCGAAGTGTCAAAATTATCCAAGAAGTACCCAGCTTGTTGACGCTTAACTTGAAGACAACTCAACGCCAATCTGACTCTTGTGATTTATAAAGACGTTGTTACGATTTCAACATTATTCTACATGATTTAAGGGTCTTAGAACGCTGTACATCTTTTACAAAAAAGATCCATATTTTCTTAAGAAAACCAATTTTTGACAAGATATTTTGACAGTTGGTCTTAGGGGCTTATGGAATTATTTACACCTGTTTATAGTGAGTTCTTGAAATCCATAAGGCATTCACATACAAGCTGTAGCTGCTAGACAATCGAGTTTTTAGCTTGAAATACAGCCACAAAATTAGCATGGAAGCCCGGAACGGATTCCTCTCCGTATATTAAGATCACCCATTCTTTAAGTACGTAAATTCAAAACCTACAAACAAAGTACACATTTTTGTCTTTTCTTACTTAGGGCATGTTTACATGGAGGTGGGGGACCCCACGTAGGTGAGGTAACTCGCTTAGATGGGGTAACCCACCTGTCCATATAATCTCTCATTTCAATTTGATCACGTTTACATGATAGGTGGGGTGACCCACCACATGTTAGCTCACCTACCTAGAGTCCCCCACCTCCATGTAAACAGGCCCCTAGACTTTTGCCCTCTTGTCGCGCTGGTTGGTCGTGTACGTGTACATGTACCTCAGTGTTTGTCAGGTAACACGTTAAAATAACAAGGTCATGCATGGTTCCTCCTTGAATTGTTATTGGTTGTTTGAAATTTCAATTTCAACTTGACTCCCAGGGGGATAGACTAAAATTTTTAGCCCCGACGACTAAAACGGTCTCGGATGTACTCGTCTCATTCTAGATGATACTCTTTTCCACAAACAGGTAGATTTTTTTGGATCAACAGGCTTTACTTAGTGGAATCCGAAAAAGCGATATCTCTCGACTTTAGAGAGGAAAAAACATTAACGGGCAAAATGGAGTCCCGAAACCGTAACTGGTGTAAACGGAGAGAAAAAAAAGGGAGAATGTAAAGGCATTATCCATTGTAACGGGAGCAAGAATTGGGACAGTTTCAAATGGAATAGCACTTCATTCAAAAAGCTTCGGAATAAAACATAAGAAAATCTAAATCAAATTCAGAGCGCTCTGCCCAACTGAGAAGTGTCAGAATTACCCGCCAGAAGTACTTGCTCGTTGAAGCTTAACTTGCATAAAGTCATGTCCATGCGAATCTCTCTGCCTTAAAGCTTAGGGGTGTGAATCATCGTTTTTATACTATTTAGGGTTAAACTTTAGCTCTATCAACTCAAGGGCAACAAATGCCAATGTAAAAATAACTCCTTGGCGTGGCAACGTGTTCAGCGATGCGTGAGTTCAAAATCTCTTGAGTGAATCCAGAGGAACCCGCACCACGCAAGTTATATTCATACAACATGTTTGTAACAATTCATTAAGGAAACAACTTATTGCCAGTTTGACGCAGACGCTACTTCTCGAATGGCTGATAATGCTCATTTGATCAGCATCTGAACAGCGAATTCCTTCCAGTAGTCGCGATCCCGCCACGCTCCAGTAAACGAGCATTGCCTAGTTTCAAACCGAGAGGGGCTGGGTACGAGTCCTTTTTTATGGATAAAAAAAGACCCTTAGAAAGAGCACATTCAGGTTAGCAACATTTTTAAGTTTGGTTTTTATCGGTCCTATATTGAAGGAGAAACAGCCATTCCAAAATTTGCCAAGAGGTAATAGGTCTTTTGCATCAGTTGGTCACGTGATGAACTTCGGTAAACTCGAAAAAAGTTCGCTTTTGAAAAAAATTGTTAGCACGAGCTGAAAGACCATATTATAATTAAGAAACCTGTAAATTTTCTGCCGTATATCTCAAAAAGTAGTGAGTGCAACGGCCGCCAAAAATTAGAAGGATTTGTATGAGAAAAACAACTCTTCCAACCAGTCACACTTCAGTGGTTTTCCATACTGCAACTCCTTCTAAATTCTGAAATTTTTAAACTGTTGTTAAATCTGTCTCCAATTCTCCCAACCCTCTCTTGTTTATATCAGGTTATGCAAACACGGAGAACGTTTTCTATTGCTTGAATAGACATCCGGACGCTGTGTCCCGCAATCCATACATTTCTTATTAATTTTCACGTTTTTAAATTGCTGTATCTTGTTCAGTATTATAGCCCGATCGACACAAAACTTGAGATTTTCCTAACGTCAATGGGCTCTTCCTGACTATGTGGGTCTCGTCAGGAGTCCCTAGTCTCGTGTTGTTTATCCCATAAAAAACCGACCTGCACCCAGCCCTCCTCGGTTTCAAACTAGGCAATGAATTTTGTTGTCAAAGTAGTGGAAAATAAACGGTACCTAAGACATTTAATGTAATTAACCTCTCTCGTTTCTCAGTATATAACTTTCGTGACATGATTGTTTCACCGGAAATTAACCTCAATGACATTTTCCTCTCCGTTATATACTTTGCAATTATGTATACTCACATGTACTTACAGAGTTCTTCATTTGCGTTATATAGTGCTAAATGAAAGTTTAAGTTAACTTATAGCTATAGAATAAAATGATGAGCGCCATCACTTTCTTATCAATAATTACACCCTTTTTCTGGTCGAAATTTTGTGGTAAACGCCTTAGCACTTTTCTAGGAAAAGTGGCAACGAATAAAGAATCCTGTGCTTAAGTAACATCAATAAAAGAAATTAAAGTTATTCTGTTAAGTCACTGTCGATATAGGCTGCTTATTCCAACCAATTTGCATTCACGAGATCCAAACAGGTTAAAAGATAGGTGCAACCAAATTAAGAACCGCATCATTTTCACCCAAGTTCAATAGCGTAGTACAGAAAAATATACTCTTACTCAGTTTCTTTCTTTGCGAGGATAACAACGCATTTCGAAAAAAATGAAAGAAAGCTTTATAAGAGTGATATTATTGTCCGTTTTATCTATTTAAACTTTTTGAGAAGTAAAATTTGCAAGCAAGTGTAATTATTTATAATATGTTGTTACTCGAGAAGGAGATTAGGGGCCAAATGAAACGATTTTTATTGCACTTGAGTCGCAATTTTAATCCACCTTTAGCGGTTTTCTTTGGTGAGCTAACATCGAAAAATTACTGACTTTATAACATTCAAGGGCAGCGAAGTCATAAATAGCACTTGTGTTTTCAAAACAACTTTGCTGATATTGTTCTACGATTGGACTCGACAACACAGCAAAACCGGGAACTGAGAACTAAATGACAGTAAGAACAAGGGATGAATTTTCGAGAGTAAAATCAGCTGTACATATACAGACGTAGAAAATCTAGAAAAAAACAAATTTATGCAACAGGATAAATTAAAGTTAATGTGATAACCATAAACCCGCCTTTACCAGTAGTGGAACCAGCTCACTTCCTTTCAGGGGTTACTTCCTGCATGTGACCCCTGTCACACTAATTGTTTCGCTCAGCCAATTAGATGCCAGCTATCACATGAACAGTTGATGCCTATATTTTCGCGCCTAGCTCAGCAAAATAGCACTTCATATTCTTCTCTTCGTCGAACAAAATCCCATCCCACCCTCCCTTATCACTGTTTGATTCTGTCTGCTGGTTTTCCTAAGGTTTTATAAATGAGGTCTTTTCTCTTGCTTAAAAGTTAAGAAGCTCCTTATACTTTTTGCAGTCATAAGAGCTACTGATCTTTGTTGTTTATACTTTGAATCAATTGGCAATTATCAAGAAGATATGGTAGAAAAGAGGTGAGGTTTCTGCTGAGGGGAATCATTCTACCAGGCATCCCAACATGCTTATGCACTTAGTTACTTTTGGCCTTATTTTGATTATTAAGTTGATAAAAGTTCAATTGTCATTTACTTACAACTTGTATTATTATATTTTCGTCTAACCTCTCTCCCTCGAGGTTCATGTTAAGTGTCTGGCGGCTCTGCTTTCGGGAGGGTTCAGGTTTCCCTCAAAAATAATTGAGGGTTTTTCCTGACGGGCAGCAGACACGCATTTCTAACTTAAATTAGTGAAGATATCTGTATTGAGAGTTGTTGGCAATTAATAAACATGGGTTCGGGATGAAGTGCTCCCATACAGGTCACACTTTGCCCCATAGACTCTTGTTACTCCTTAAACCGGGGAATTAGACATCTAGAGAGGTCTTTCCACCTCTCCAGTACCCAAGGGGGATTATCACCTCCACTCACAGCCTTGGGGGATTATCAACCCCTAGAGAGGATTATCACCTCTCACTATCCTGGGGGATTATCACCCCCTAGAGAGGATTATCACCTCTCACTAACCTGGGGGATTGTCACCCCCTACAGAGGATTATCCTCTCTCACAATCCTTGGGGATTATCACCTCTCCCTTTGTAGATTTCGGACTGTTACACCAATATGTAGAGAAAAGTGACCTGCTGTCCATATTTGGAGTACTTCATCCCTTACCCCTTTTCCCCACAATAATTCTGGTCTAGTTTACTTGCTTTTATCTAAGGGGTTATGGGTTAAGAGCATTAATTAACTGTGAATACAACGGTGTGCATTTTAAACTTTATCCATGCAAAAACGATATCTGGGCCTACAAATAACAACGCCAGGAAACGGTTTATAGTAAGACAGTCACAATTTATTACGCAAATATAAACGTGCCATGAAAGATTGAGGGATTACAGTTTTCAGTTTAACTGAGACACTTATAACTGGTCCTGGAATTCTGCATACATACTGTGCATTCTAAACATTTACAATACCCTCTGGCTCATAAGTTTGTAAGCAAATCTGTTATGAACAAATTCTGTTACATATATACATTTTTTTATAACTGTAAGTCTAACGAAACGTGACAAAATAGCTAACATATGAAAACAGGACAAATTAAGATCCACTATTTAAGCACACACTACATTGGTACACTTTGTACCGGTATACCTCTGTAAAGAATATGTGATACATATACATTAGGATGCAAACGGGGCATATACCATCATGTCCCATCTTATTTGCAGCCTTAGTAGAGGAAACTGGTTATGAAAGCCGGCAAACTAAATTGATTGAATAAATTGATGCAACGTTTTTATCAGTGAAAACAAAAAAAACAACAACAACAAAAACAGCAACAAAAACAACAACAAAAACAACATGGAACAAACAAAAAAATACAAAGGAATGTCATTGAATGTTGTACACCGTCATGTCCGAAAAGGCTAAGAAAAACATATAACAAAGAGATCTGACAGGCTTCATAACAATTTCTCATTTCATACCTGCTGCGTTTCTTTTGCGGTTGCATAACAGGAACGTCTGAAATAATCTGATTATTCTATAATCTCGTTCCCAGGGTTCTCTCTCTTGCCTCGAGAAAGAACTTTGGTTGCAGCTGGTCATGTGACTTTCCGTGATAATGGACTCCTCATCGGGGTAGGGTTTTTAAAAACAAGCGAACTCTGAAGTTCAAAAGTTAACTGATGTTTTCGTTTTTGGCTGCCGTCAGACATCTCGGCGGACCTGTTAGGAAACAGAGTATACGTACTACCCCACCCTTGAGGTCCTTGCGGCAAAACCACTGTGGGAGCCAGGTGACTAGCAGCAAACAGGGTTCTTTTTATGTTCGGTATACAGCCATAAACAAGAGCTTTATAAAATCCAAAACTTCATCAATAAAAAAAATCGTTCGTTATACTGAGGACTTTGTCATATATAGGTTCGTTATATCGAGGTTCCTCTGTTTATACATTCCAAATTCTTAGCTGCCTTTATTGGATTTACTTATTAAAGATTTTCTTTCTACTCGATTAATCGCCAAAAATGCACTGGTCTCTAGTTTTAATAGCCCTTGCTGTGAGCTTACAGTCCATGAACAGACAACACTTTTGAAACAGGGCTTACAGAACATAAAAAGTCAGCCATAATTTAATCTATTAGATTGAAATGCATTTGCATTTTAACGGTTCCTCTGATGCATATTGTTCATCCTTTAATTCACGCGTACCATGCATAAACATCAGCACATGTCTGACCACTGTTACCGGATTCGGAACAGTTCTTTAAGTCTTGTCCGTACCAAATTTGAAACTCATTTCCAACAAACACAGATATTGG